CCTAAACCCGAAATCCTAGACCCTAAACCCTAAACCCTGAACCCTAAACCCTAAACCCTAAACCCTAAACCCTCAGCTCCAGACCGCTTTCAGGAAAGCAGCGCTTGGTGGGGCCTTCCGAGGCCCCGACGCCCCCGGAGTACACGCCGGACCTCCCCATCGAGCCTTTGTCATAGTTGGGTAACATTTTACATTTTTAAGAGTACTTAAACCCAATAAGGAATATAAATTTAAATTTTGAATACTACCCCCAACCATGAACAAGGAGCCCCCGCCGACCTCCGAGTTGGCCCGCGTGCAGTGGCTCGGGGATGCTTTTAAAGGGTTTGGGGTTTAGGGTTTGGGGGTTTAGGGTTTGGGGTTTGGGGTCCAGGGTTTAGGGTTTAGGGTTTGGGGTTTAGGGTTTAGGGTTTCGGGTTTAAGGTCTAGGATTTCGGGTTTAGGGTTTAGGGGTTTAGTGTTTAGGGTTTAGCGGTTTAGGGGTTTAGGGTTTAGGGTTGTTCCAGAAGGGAGTTAGAGAGCTCTTTTTGGGGTTTCCGAAGGTTTCTTCCTAGAGCTTCACAGTGTTTTCACAGTTTTTTATAAGTTGATTTTTAAAGCATCTACGAGTCTTCTATAAGCTTTTTGCAGCTTTGGGGTTTACCCTTCCTTCAGGGCTCCTCGTCATAATTTGCTTCCATAAATCCCCCAAACCCATTCGGTTTTTGGGGTGTCAAGGCGGGTTTTGTCGAGGTTTAGGTTTGGGGGGTTTGGAAATTGCACTGAATCAGCCTAGGGCATAGGCTGCGCTTAAGGCCAAAGCCTTAAGCCCTGAACCTTAGGTAGAAAATTAAGCAGCTGAGCCGGCGTGCGTCGGGTTTTTGGATCTTAAGCAGGTGGTACGAGATCAAGTTCGGCATGGATGTGGACACGCACGCAGGCATGCAGAACCAGCGGAAGCTCTTTCAGTCGTACCTGGAGGGCCTACATTGGGTCATGAGGCGTGGAATCTCGAAACCGTTGTCCGAAACCCTAAACCCTACTTAAACCCTCCGGGCCGGCAGCCGAACTATTTTTTCCCTCGGATGCAGCAATTACAGAGTCAATCAATGCAAGGCAAAGGGCTGTTCAGGCAAATCGTTCGAAGGTGGAAGTGAAGTTGAGATCTTTGACGATGAAGAGCAACTGGCGGCCACGAAGGCAAGTCAATGCAAGGCAAAGGGCTGTTCAGGCAAATCGTTCGAAGGTGGAAGTGAAGTTGAGATCTCTGACGATGAAGAGCAACTGGCGGCCACGAAGGCAAGTGCAGATGAGGCTATCAAGCCCGCGGCAAAGAGCAAGGGTATCGCAGAGGGCGACACCGCGTTCTTGATGAACCTCATCAAGGCATCGGCCTCGGTGATTTGGTGCATTCTGCTGGTATGGTGTCTTCAGTTTCCTTGATCTCGTGCCTTTGGTCTGCGAGAATGACTTTAATTTTCAGTCGTGTCTGGTGCCCCTTTTGGTGTGTCTGTGTGGTGTCTTCAAATTTCATTCGGTTTGGTGCTTTTTTTGGGTCTCATGCTGCCTTTGGTGTGCTGGTTGTGTCCTCAACTTTTTTTCGTCGTGTTTGGTTCTTTTTGGTGTGCTCATGTCATGTTATCCAAATTTGTTGAATGTTCAGAACCTTCACTTGGCTTTTTCTTTTGATTCTTCCGCAGCACACATGTGTGTGTTCACATTTTATGGAGAGAGTTTTCAGCGGTTGCAGCTGGGAACGAGAAGCTGTGAATTTCAGGTGATGCCTTTGTGTGGTCGCAGTTGTGTTTCAAGATTGCCCGACATAGTGTTCCCTCGACGTGTCACCTGGGTTCATGGCTGAGGAGCCGGAGAAAAAACGATTGAAAGTCGGCGTTGGCGAGGAGACCAACTTGTGCTGCCCTTCGCCCCAGTGCGAAGGCGTCCTGCGCTGGAAACCAGACGGCCGGCAGCCGAACTTTTATTTCCTCGGATGGAGCAATTACAGAGTCAATGATTGCATGGCGAAGGGCTTTTCAGGCAAATCGCTCGAAGGTGGAAGTGAAGTTGATATCTCTGACAGCCATGCGGTTGCTTCGGCATATGTGAGCTCGCAGAGCACCCAAAGCGTGGCCGCAGGAGAACCAGCTCCGAGAACTCCCGAGTCATGCAAGCGAGACCTCGCAATTGTTGTGGAGAGCCCGGTGAAGGGGCTGGCTCCCGGCATTGCGACTCGAATGACGGATGAAGAGCAACTGGCGGCCACGAAGGCAAGTGCAGATGAGGCTATCAAGGTCGCGGCAAAGAGCAAGGGCATCGCAGAGGGCGACCCCGCGTTCTTGATGAACCTCATCAAGGCATCGGCCTCGGTGATTTGGTGCATTCTGCTGGTATGGTGTCTTCAGTTTCCTTGATTTCGTGCTTTTGGTCTGCGAGAATGACTTTAATTTTCAGTCGTGTCTGGTGCCCCTTTTGGTGTGTTTATGTGGTGTCTTCAAATTTCGTTCTGTTTGGTGCTTTTTTTGGGTCTCATGCTGCCTTTGGTGTGCTGGTTGTGTCCTCAACTTTTTTCGTCGTGTTTGGTTCTTTTTGGTGTGCTCATGTCATGCTATCCAAATTTGTTGAATGTTCAGAACCTTCACTTGGCTTTTTCTTTTGACTCTTCCGCAACACACATGTGTGTGTTCACATTTTATGGAGAGAGTTTTCAGCGGTTGCAGCTGGGAACGAGAAGCTGTGAATTTCAGGTGATGCCTTTGTGTGGTCGCAGTTGTGTTTCAAGATTGTCCAAACCCCGGGACTCTCAGATGCTCAGGCGAGACAAAGCAGAAAGCCCATACCCACAAGACCAAGCCCCAGACCCCAAACACCAAGCTCTAAGCCCCTAACACAAAACGCGACCCAACACCCCGAGCCGAGTCTGAAACCCCAAGCCCTGAGTTTTACTGGAAGTCGCCTCCACCAGAAATCCCAATGACCGTTACAGCAACCGCATAATCACCCTTAACTTACGAGCAGCCCTCTACCCTCTACCCTAAACCCTATACCCTACACATCGACCCCTGCGAGAGGTATTACTTCCGGGGGCCTTCCGAGGCCTCGTGGAGACTGGTCCTCTGAAGATTTGATTTCTTGCGGGGCTTTACAGCGTTTTTAGGCTTGTGCTGAAAGGGTAAGATGAGATGCTACTATAACAGCTACAGGCTGCTAGTGTGTATTATTATGTGCATAGAGTTCGGGTTTAGTTGTTTTTTTGTTGAAAGCGCGGTAGTGTTGCTATAACAGTGTCTAGAAAGATTATAATAAGGATTCCTATGTTGGTTGTGGTTTCGCGCCACGGGTTCGACAAGGTTTTAGGGTTCGTAGGACGCCCTAAAACCCTCGACGACGCCCCCTGAACCCTCAACCCTACAACCTAAGCCCTCGACCCAAACTAATGTAGGGGCCTAAACAATTACCTATAACATTTTGGGGATTCCTTACTATAATTATAGTATAGTACACACACCCCAAAACCCTATTCTAGTTATTAAGGCAGCCTGCATTACACCCAAAACCCGAAGAGCCAAAGGAGTTGGTACTATCCGTACTACCACGCGCCCATGGCCTACGACCTGGCTCACTACGACAAATTGCCCCAGCCGGGCATCGAACTCGAGGCACCGGGATTCTGAACCCTCTGAATATTAGGGTTTAGGGTTTAGGGTTTAGGGTAGATGTATAGTAATCCCTTATGGTAGTGTAGATTTCTCTCGTTTGCCCGGGTGATCTATTCTTATAGTAGCCCTGGCAGTAGCCGGTATAACCCGTTATCGTAGCCCTAAGGAGGAATATTTGAACTCCTAAAGAAGCCGCTTATAGTAGCCGCGACAGCCGTGTAGTATCCTTGTAGTACTGTAACCCGTAGAGTGTCCCTTATATATACTAGCCCGTAGAGTAGTCCCAAACCGTAGCCTTGGATACCATAACAGGGATTTAGGCTTCAGGGCTTTTCGGGACGCGCTGCTAGACCTAACATAGGCGCCTTGATAGTTCGGCGAGGGTTTGGTGTACTACAGTAGACGTATACACGAACTAGAAGGAGATATGGTAACCAAGTATACCCAACCCAAGGGTTAAAATCCCCGGAGCCTTGAACGCTAAACCAAAACTATGAACCTTAAATTCTTGTTTCGAATCCCTTGGAGACAGGTGGGGCAGCCTTTCCGTCCTTTCCAGCAGCTGCTGCTTCCCTTGCAGTTCAGAAGAACGTAGTATAGGCTAATAAGGGCTCTACAGATTTGCAGAGTCGTTTTTCAAGAGGGGTGACGTGTAAGGTCTAACCCTAATCCCTCATAGAGCAGGGTTCACGGCCTTCGGCTTCGAAAGGTGCAGGATGCGATGCGAGAGGTTTTGGGATTCAGTTTGCCTGGTCTTGGAGGCTCAAAGTTCGAAGGGTTACAGTCAGCAGCGTCTTGTAATCCCCGTATGTTGCTACAATATGTTACCAAACCCTGCTCTAGTTTGAAAATGGCCGGTATCTTAGGAGGTTTGAGGATTGAGGTCCGGGCATAGAGCCACAAGTTTGGCTTCCACGGCGACTGGGCGGGCGGATGCCGAGGTATCCTGGGCAGTAACTCCCTGGTTCTTAGTAGGGAATGGGGGAATGGGTTGTTGGGATTCGTAGACCCTAAACCCTAGACCCCAAGCGGTAGAACGGACCTCAAGCCAAGACATGACCCAACTGTAAAGCTGTAAAACCCCTGAGTCCCTGAACCCGACACACCTTAATTAAGTTAGGATAGGCCTTGCCCATTTTGGGATATTACATCACCGCAAACATATATAGGCCATATAATCACAACTAGTAGCTCATTATCCTTACAATACTCTATCTCATCCTATTTATCAGGTG